TTCGCCGTCCTGGAAGTCCCTGAGCCCGCTATTGACACCGAGGCCCTCTCTGGAAAGACCTCCAGCATCGTGGACTCTTGCCTTCCCAGCGTTGCCAGCTCCAAGGACGAGGCTCCTGTTCTCGCTTCTATGCCAGCTGTTGCCGAAACCGAGCAGAAGTCGGATGTTGGCGTTGAGAACCCTGATGTCATGATGGACGAGTCGGACCCTGCTTTCGCTCTCTTTGCTGATCTGCCTGCCGCCCCTACATCGCAAGGATCTGCTTGTGCTTTTGATGGCATTGCTACCGGAAAGTCGACCTTTGAGCTTGTTGTCGAGGGCGAGGTCAAGGACAGTGCCCAACAATTTGCTCATCTCTGCCACAGCATGGAAGCCGCTTTCGAGCGCGTGTCCATGATGACTGCTCATCTTCCATGATTCCCCATGTCGCGCACTTTCGAGCCTTATAAGTACTGTAAAGCTGGTTCTTCGGTTTTGCTATTTTACCTTCTCGCTAGTGGTTCGAAAGACTATTGAACCTGCCATGTAGACACCAACGTCTTTCCTTTGTCAATGATCTTGTGTTTATATACTTCTGCCCCACGACGTGGCTCATTTCTGTCTACGCTTATTCTTTCTATTGCTGCTCGTCTTTTCTTCTACTCTTTTCTTTTCATCCTCTTTTTCAGGGGTTCGACGGAATGGCTTCTGGTGTCTGGAAGAGGGAAGGCTACTTGGGATTGGAATTTGGGAGCTTGGAATTATGGATTGTCCGGACTGGCTATTAGGGAACACATCAAGATACAAATTAACTCCATATCAAAAGTTGAATGACCTTAGGATCTGCGAGCCTTTTGCATAGTTCGTATTAGTAAGGAAATAGATGACCAGTGGCAGACTACTGCTTAGTGTGGAGGAGCTGCATGGCTTAAAGTGATCGAAAGTGGCGATTGTCAGGCCCGAGAAAAAGTTGCCGGGCGGAGAAGCTCTGCGACTCATCCACAACTTAATTGACAACCTCTCATCTCCTACCATCTCTTTTATCTTGCTTTTTACTTTGATTCCTATGAGATGACGGACCGTTGACACTGCTCGCATTTATCTAAGCCCAACTACATCTCCCTTTCCCATCAAGTTGGCTTCCCTTTTGCGGTCCGCGGCGCTACTCGCCAGTGTTTTTCGCGGAGTTGCCGTCGCTCCCAGACGTCCCTCGCCAGTCCTCCTCCGAACCTCGATCCCTCGAGATTCTCGCGGCTCTCATAAAAAGGCTCTATCCCAGAAGCGCGATTTTGCTCAGAAGCGTGGGCCGTCGGCGTCATCCAAAAAATCTCAGATTGGCCAGCCAGTGGAACCGGGCACTTATCTACTGCCTGCCCCTCGACTACCTTTCCGACGCGGACAGAATTTCCTCCTCTACAATCCCAAGTCTTTTCAGACATCAGGTTTCGGTCCTCCGCCGACGCCACCGACGGGCAATCCCCCAATGAAGTTCTACTACGAGGTCCTGACCACGCCCACGGCCGATACCCCAGGCACGACGGTCCTTCTTCACTTCCCGGACAAGCGTTATTTCTTCGGTCAACTGTCGGAGGGCACTCAGCGCGCATGTACGGAGCGTGGCATTAAAATAACCTATCTGACCGACGTCTTCCTCACCGGCCAGATACAATGGGGCAATACCGGAGGATTGATTGGTGTTATCCTTACGCTGGCTGACGGGATAGCCAGCTCGAATAACGCTTTGGAACTTCTTGCGCGGGAGAAAGAGGAACGCATCAAAGAAAGTGGACAGGCCAATGCGGCTGCCAAAAAGGAGCATGGAATGTCATACGCGGTTCACGACGGACAATTGGTACCGCAACGAGGAACTCTGACAATCCACGGAGGTAGAAACCTCACACACACTCTAGCCACCGCACGGAGATTCGTCTTTCGCAAGGGTACACCGGTGTTCACGCGCGAATATGATTCGGAGGGCATGTCGAAACCCGATCGCCTCGGAGCGGAGGATCCTTGCGAACAGCCTACATGGTCGGACAGCAACATCAAGGTCTGGGCTATGCCTATCAGGTCTTCCCCCGTCCCGCACCTGCAAGCGACGTCGCAGGTTCGCTCAATGAGCCCTAGGAAGCGAAGCCTCGACGAGTTCGAAGAGAGCAACAATACGTCAGAGCCTATTGATGCGCGAACCCGGGACCAAGTCATTAGGCAGTCTGTGATCACGGACATGTTCAACTCGAACTGGAGACTGGATGCTCTGCACGAGACCAAGTTGGCGGATGTGAAGATGCCGGCCGCGATGTTCGTTCGTAACCCCGTCACCAAAGACCTTGAGCAGTACAAGGGACCTGCCCCCGGAAGTAATGAGCCACTCCCTGATATCACGGTCCTCGTACGCCAACCGTGGCCCGGTGCAGCCGTCGAGAAGATCCCTCATACTACCTGGTGTCAGGAGTCCGTTTCCTATATCATCCGGAACCACGATGTCCGGGGAAAGTTCGACCCGAAGAAGGCTCAGGAGCTGAATGTTCGCAAGGGACCAGACTATGCGAAGTTGACCAAGGGAGAGAGCGTGACGTCGCAAGATGGCAAGACCGTTACTCCTGACATGGTTCTGGGCCCATCCCGACTGGGTAAGGGATTGGCAATCATCGATTTGCCTACCCCAGCACACGTCGATGATCTGGTAAATCGGCCCGAGTGGAACTCCCCCGCCGTTACTACAGGCCTGCAGACCTTCCTGTGGATTTTGGGTCCTGGAGTGGGTGATCATCCACGACTCCACGAGTTTGTTGCGAGATTCCCCGAGTGCGAACATACCGTGTCCAGTTCGGACTATTGTCCCAACTACCTGTCTATGAAGAGCATCGCAACCTCGACCACGCGGATGGGCTTGCTGAGGCCTGACAACTACCCGACCCTTGTTCATGACAATGTGTCCCTCCCGCAGCCCGGCACTAGAACTGCAGAGCCTGCCACAGAACCGAAAGCTGTTGCCCTGAAACCTGTGGCGCCCGGTGTCATCATCGACATGGAGCCCAAGTTTGCGCTCAATTACTCTGAAGTCGAGCCGCATTTTGAGCCCGCACAGGTGCAGCGCCAGATGCCTTGGGCCATCGAACAGCGCCTGAGCACCATCCGCAAGCGTGTCAAGAAGGAGGCGTTCACGAAAAAGCTCGAGAGCTTCCAAAAGGATCTCCCAGGAGCCAACGTGGAGATCATTACCCTGGGCACTGGATCCTCCGCTCCATCCAAGTACCGCAACGTCTCCGCTACTCTTCTCAACGTGCCTGGCTACGGATACTACCTGCTCGACTGCGGTGAGAACACCCTTGGTCAGCTGAAGCGTGTCTTCGCACCTGAGAAGCTGCGTGAAGTCTTGCAGAACCTGCGGATGATCTGGATCAGTCACCTTCACGCGGACCACCATCTCGGCACCGCTTCTGTCATCAAAGCCTGGTTCCAGGAGAACTACCCCGACGGAATCCCGCAGACAGACGAGGTAGAGATGGACATGTCCAAGATATTACAGGAAAAGCGACTGTTCGTTGTCTCCGAACAGATGATGACAGGCTGGCTAGAGGAATACGCTGCTGTCGAGAACTACGGTTTCGGCAAGGTGATTCCCTTGAGCGCCTCCCCCTACCTGCACCAAGGCAACATCCGCACCCAATTCGTCTACCGTCACTGCCGCGCAGACGGCTCCTACCCCGGCCACCAACTCGAAGCCACCAGACCCTCGACCACCAGCCTCAGCTTCCACGACCAATCCTCCCCCCTCACCCCTCTCCTCCGCTCCGCCACCGGCCTCTCCGACCTCCTCACCACCCGCGTCTCCCACTGCCGCGGCGCCATGGCCGTGTCCCTCGTCTTCCCCGACGGCTTCAAGATCTCCTTCTCCGGCGACTGCCGTCCCTCCGCCGGCTTCGCCACCATCGGCCGCAACTCCACCGTCCTAATCCACGAAGCCACCTTCCAAGACGACATGGCCGTATCAGCCATCGCCAAGAAACACTCCACCCTCTCCGAAGCCCTCGAAGTCGGCCGTCTCATGAACGCCCGCGCCATTCTCCTCACGCACTTCAGCCAACGCTACCAAAAGCTCGCCCGAGTCGAAGAAGCCCCTGCCTCTCGCACAGCCAACAACAAACCCGCCGCTGAGCCCAGCAACCACGTCGGCCAAGTCGGTCTCGACGTTCCGGACGACGAGCCCACACAAAACAACAACACCCGTAACCAAATGTTCGGCGACATCAAGGTCACCAGCCGTCCTAAGATCACCGTCCCGATCGTCGCGGCCTTCGATTACATGCGTATTCGCGTCCGCGATATGCCTATCGCTCAGGCGTATGCGCCTGCCGTCGAGAAGTTGTTTGACCTCCAGGAACGCGCGGGCGAGGAGAAGGCCGAACAAAGGAAGGAGGCTGCTAAGCAGATCGCGCAGAATAGGCAGAAGGCGAAGAAGCAGAAGCAGGAGAAACATAAGCAGATTCCTGTTGCTGCTGAGGAGATGGAGGTTGAGAAGCCGGAGGGGGCAGATGTTAAGTCGAAGTCGATTTGGAGTGCGAGTGAGAGTGAGAGTGGGTGGAGCACGAGTGGGAGTGATAGTGAGGGGGAGCGCATTAAGAAGGAGCATTATGCTAGGAAGCGGAAGGGTAGTGCTGCTGCTGGTAAAGATGGGCAGTAAGAGTAAGTAGAGTGTAGGAGATATGGGATAATACTATCATATTAGAGTATATAACATTCGAACATATTATCATGATGTATTATTATTCTTATTGGTGTTTGACTACGGTCAAGCAGTTTGGTTTCAAAGAAGAATAGATTACTACGGCTCAAGAGCAAATCAGTCATACTGCATACCATGTTTATGTCTTCCAATAGACCACAGTAGTAAATATGTATATCTATTAGACCAAATCACCCAATCTCACAATAGTGGTCAAGAAAAAAAAAGAAAAGAAGTAGGTACAGATTAAAGCAACCTCGCATACACAGATGCAAATCAACCATCGTAGGCTCTAGAACCCAGCCACCGACTTCTCCGCATCATTCTTACCATACAACCCCTCACCGAGATTCTGCAGACACTCGGACCTCCAGTCCTTGGGGGTGAACTTGTCCACGATCTCCTTGAACGCTTCCAGCGTACAGAAGCTCTCGTCACCAGGGAGATGGTTCTCAGCCTTAGCGGCGCAACCGGGGATCCGGACAGGACGGTCGTTGTATCTAATGCGGACGTAGTGGGAGCGGAGGGATTCTTTAGATGATTCGGGGAGAGAGGACAGAGGGACACGGGCTGTTTCGGAGGGTTGGGGGGTATTAGGCGTGCTGGAGGAGGAAGAGCCAGTTAGGAAGGAGAAGAGGCCCTTCTTGTTGGTTGCGTCGCCAGATGTGGATGTCGCGCGTGCTTGTTCTTGTTCGGCTTTGGAGAAGAGCTCGATGGCTACGGAAGAGGTGAAGGGGGGCCATTTTCCGTCGAAGGCGCCCGTGCTGGTGAGGATAGCGGCGAGAGTGGTGTCGTGGCAGCCGCTCATGGCGAATTTGATGGCTTTGCCGTTGGTTGGGGAGGAGCCCGAGGCGGAGGACTCACTGCGCCAGCCGCCGTCAACGGCGGCGCTGACCATGCGGTCGACGACGTCGCCGAGGAGAGCGCCAATGCCGAGTTTGCGGTATTCGTTGCTCTCGGTGTAACCGGTGAACCATTCGTCGACGGAGATCTGGTCGATGTAGTCTCTGAGTTTGCGGTCGTAGAATTCGGAGGGGAGCTTGGTTGCGGGGCCGTGGGCATCGGTAGCGTTGATGGTGTCGTTGATTCCGCACAGTTGAGGGTGGCCGTCTACTGCGACTCGAGGGGAGCTTTCCGGCATCCACTTGGAAATGCGCTTGTTGATGTAGTCCATTTCATCAGAGGTGTTCCCTGTAAGATTGTTTGTTAGATTATTAGTGGTTAAATGCTTGGCAGCTACTATGGTATGACGGAGTGCATTGGACTGGGGGATCTGAGTAGAGGACGTACATTTGAGTGCTGCTTTGTTCGCAAAGAGCCTAGCAAGTTGCCTGAAACGGCGGCAGTTTCCTTCATTCGGGAAGAGAGTCTCCTCCGATACGGCGCGTGCAACGATCACCGGGGGTGGGAAGTCCTGGGTGCGGGCACTGGCGGGATACATGCCCCAGAAGGCTTGCTGGAGGGACTCGAGGGCACGGGGAATGGGAGTGGCACGAAGATACATATCCTCGGTATCGGACTTGACCTTGGGCATGAAACCCAGCTGGTCGACATACAAGTGTCGCAGACGCTGGCCTAGGGCAAAGGTGGTCTCCCGTCCTTTGTCTGTCAGCTCACCGTGTTGGCTGGTACCCAGTCAGCAGGACCTCCTGAAAGTTTATCGCTGAAGTCCAACTTGCCAGATGCCTTCTATATCACCAGTTGCTCCCACTGCAACCACAGATTGGTCCTTGTCGCCAAAAGCCTCCGTCTTCCTCCTCCATTCGAACCCGTTCCACGATGTGAGGTCTTTGTTGCTGGCGGCCATTTGAATCATCTGTCGCGCAACATTGCAGTACGGCCAGTCTTTGCAGAAGTAAAGAAGTTAGTGAGGGGCCGATCAAACGTATGCGTCAAGGTGGAAGGACGAATTACATGGAGCGAGTCCTGCCTAAACAATATTAGCCTGGAGATAAGCTGGGGGGAAGGGTTGGACCGCATACATTCTGGAAACGCGAAGAGACGGGCGTTCGTTCTCCTAAAGAGCAGAGGTTAGATCAGGAATATTCAAGCAAAATTGTAATATGTATATCCTTCTCACCATGACGGAGAAACTGAACCATGCATTAGCCAGCGTCCTGCGTGGGCAATCGGGGGGATTGATTTGCCGGCACTTACCACTTGCACCAATTGGAGTTTCAGGTCCCGAGGATAGAGCCGGTCCAGCTCCTCCTGGGAGTAAGGCTCACGGGGGACCAGAGTTGTCATTGGAAAGGCAGTCCGCAGTGAAGCACCTGGCAGGACTTGAGAGACGGCGTCAATGACAAGGGGGGAAAAGGTAAAGAGCGAGCCTGGCAGACTAATAAATGGAAGGAAAGACAATGGGCGCAACGGCCGGACAGGCGGTGATGACGCCAGCAGGCGGTCTGGTTGAGGGGAGCCAATCAACAGGCGGCACTGAACCCCGAGGCCGTTTCGAGGGTTTTTCGCGGGGATTTTCTCCATTCATTCCATTTGCTGTGCCTGCTTTAATTTACGAGGAAGTTCCTCGGGTGAACGCTTGTTGATCAGGGTCCTTTTTGTCCTGTTTTGCTACCATTGGAGTTCATCTCTCTACTATCTCTATATCCCGAGTACATCAAGTTGTGTTGTTTACACAATCCGTGAACAATCATGCTTAACCATCTCAACGAGATTGAATACAATCTACTACTCCGTAGTACTGTAATCACGTCAATTTCCAGAGGTGGTCTTCTCCATCATCCTCGTAGTTTAGATAGGTGTGGTTGACAGGTTGTCATGCACACCGACTGCATATATTGCTCGCACTTATTTCCCGATCAAGTCTCCGTAACCATACACCTCTTGAGCCCTTCTTATGGGTCAAATAAATAATGGCCCTCTGTCAATGCCGCCATTGAATTCTATTGTCAGATTCGTGGTTGCCCTCAATATTGGCCGCCCAGTATGGGCACCGCATGGTCATGGTAACAGTTCAGTGCAAATTACCACATGTTGTAAGATTACCCTGTATTATATCCCGGCATGAAGCCATTTGCGTCGCTATCACAGCTGCAAACTTGACAGCTGTCCACCTGTACTCTGTAGCATGAGATAGATAACTGCCCTGGTAGTTGGTTGGGGGATGCGGAAAGGATCACGCACCAAAGGCGGAGAGCAGCATCTCTCCGTGCCAAGCCGCACCTCCCGCGCTTATCGCATTGGACGCACCGCATCTCTTTCACTGTCCTCCACTTCCATCCACTGTGATTGGCAATCCAGGAACGCACTGTCAGGCATTGAGACTTCTGCTGAGTATAAGCCACTCCCATTGCACTATCTGTATGTGTTCTTAGCATCACATCTCCTCCAAGTTCGTGTGCAAGCCCTCCAATCCAGCCTGTTCTGCCCCGTGCCTACCCACCTATACATCCTCTTTGGTCTGATATTATTGTTATCGCGAGAGAGAACGTATTGAGCCTCTCATCCCGTGACCCCCTTCCTCTTTCGCTTGAATGATCATTTGCCAGCCATGCACTTCACACACTGCTGAGCCTTCCTTATTCCCATCCGTTCCTGTGCAACAAGCCACCCTCCAGTCACTCTGCCCATATCCTGGTTGCTCCGTCGATCATCTTTCCGGGGTTCTGGTGCGGAGATTGCAAACACTGCGTTTCATACTTCACTGTCTCTCGTTTGGCTTCAATTTGCTTGAACTCAATCTGTTCAAACACGTCCCTCTCCTCATCTCATATCATCGTGTCGTGTGAGACATTGAACTTGTGGTAAGTCTCTGTCAAGTCCTTTGGATGTAGTTGCTTTTTGCACTCGCTGAGCTGATTACTTAGGTGGAAAGCATCGTTTCTGAAATAGCACAAGGATTGAACCGAGTCTGAAACCATGGATGTAAGGATTCTTCCAATGCCCCTCTCTCTTATCTGCAGATGAGCCTGCACCGTCTGTCGAGCTGTGGGAATCAATGAGGTGTCTTTTTGAGTGCTGTGCTGGACTGCTTGGCCCAGATTGGCTCTATTCTATGTTGTTGCTGTTGCCTGCATGTCAAAAGTACTCTGTGTTGTGTGAGGTATCTGCAGATGACCTTCAACGCCCGACCGGCTCAACAAGAAATGAGTTGTTCTCTGTGCTCGGATACACCCAGAGCAATCAATTCTGTTTTGTACGAGTCTATGCACGTGTCAAACACGCCCGGCGAGTCCCAGGTGTTTTTTTCACGTTCTCATCACATTCGAGCTCGGGGCACGTGACCTGTATTCACGCTTTCACCTCATGTTGTTGGAGAGGACTAGATAGCTCATGGGCATTCTTTTCTCTGCTGTCTTTGTTGTCTTTGATGAAAGCTTCTCACGCGCTTGGTCATCATGGAGCTACCTCGTCGGATCGAACCTGGCTGGGGGAGCGCATCCAAACAGACCCCAAGCGAGAATACTACAGCCCCCAAGTCTGATGCACAGCTAATGCTTGAGAATATTCTACAGGGAACTACCCAATCTATGGAGCAGTCCGCTGAGTCGGCCAATAAACCCCAGGATGCTAAGCCTCGTCTGATGCTGATGGGCCTGCGTCGGTAAGCTATCCCTACCGTAGCTGGTCCCGTATCATATTCTAACATTACCTAGGAGCGGCAAGTCATCGATCGCTAGCGTGGTCTTCCACAAAATGCCACCCAACGAGACCCTTTTCCTGGAATCAACGACCCGGATCCAGAAGGATTCGATCCAGTGAGTACGCATGTCCTCCACGATCCATACTGCACTGACACAGGCAAACAGCTCGTTCATGGACTTTCAGGTCTGGGATTTCCCTGGTCAGCTGGAGTACCTGGAGCCGTCTTTCGATCTGGAAAGCATCTTCGGAAGTTTGGGCGCGCTGGTTTGGGTCATTGACGCTCAAGACGATTACATGGAGTCGGTGGCGCGTCTCAATCGCACGATCTTAACCGTTCAGCAGTACTATCCGAACATCAACATTGAGGTCTTCATTCACAAGGTTGACGGTATCACCGATGAATACCGCACCGACACTTTCCAGGATATTGTCCAGCTCATTTCGGACGAGCTCAGTGATGCGGGCTACGAAAATGCTCCGGTTCATTACTACCTGACCTCCATCTACGACTACTCCGTCTTTGAGGCCTTCAGTAAGGTCATTCAGAAACTCATTCCCAACCTGTCTACGCTGGAGAATCTGATCAACACCTTGTCCAACAATTGCGGATTTGAAAAGACTTATCTTTTCGACGTTCTCAGCAAGATCTACATTGCGTCCGACACCCGTCCGGTCGACATGTCCTGCTATGAGATGTGCTCCGACTATATTGACGTTATTGTGGACATTTCGGAGCTGTACTCCTGGGATCACCCCGACCGCAAGGCCAAGGGCGAGCAGAATCAGGAAGCAGAAAGCCACGCTGTTTTGCACGATGATACGATGATCCACCTCATGGAGATGAACAAGTATGTGGACGAGCTGCCCCTCCTTTGACGATGCTAACAGATAGTAGGTATCTTTGTCTTGTTTCCGTTATCCGGAACCCCGAGTCGAAAGATAAAAAGGGCCTTATCGATATGAATTGCCGTACCTTCCAGGAAGCTCTCAATGATGTCTTCTCCCGCAGCTGGGAGCAGGACCAGGAAGAGCCCGGAGTGGTGACCGAGGAGTAAAATACGAATTCATTTGCATTGGCGAGGTTGTCTTGTTTTTTGTTCTGTTTCGTCGTCCCTCTTTTGGGGCTTAGCAGGGAGTATTGAGGCACGGTTCGGATGGCATGACACCTCGGATGAGCCCTCTATCTTGCGACGTCGAGAATATGTGAAGCTCTGGTAGTTTTCACGCTATTTTGATGGGATCAATACTGAGGCTGGTACTTTGATAGTATTATATCCGAGTTAGTAGTCAATACCATAATGTGATATTCTACCAAGTAAACATTCGACCCGCAGTAGCCCTTGTAGTAAGGCATCAAGGCATCAAATCGAACGTGAGAGACCCGCCCGGCGGAACTTTCTTCCTGCGCAACATAAATTCATCTGGAAATTCTTTTCTTCGCTTGTTTTCTGTCATCACCAGTTGTGGTTCTTACGCACCTTTTGCGACTTCAAAAATGGATTGAAGATTTCGCGACTGGCTATGTCGTACTAACCCCGAAGCATCAATCCTACAGTTATCATCTTATCAGCAATCTCTATGGTAAGTTCGACAGAATTCATTGCACACGCTTCAATCAAGCTTCCCTCCCCAATCTCGATGATGAAAACTTTTCCTACATTCGCAGTTTCCACGCTAGCCGTCGCGAGAACCCATTCTAGACGTGCTCTGTGCGCAATACTTCCTTGGATGTCTGACGAGATTGAATGCCTTTTGCCTTTGCTTCTGCAGATCTTATGTAGTTGAACTTGGCTAACTGGATTAAAGTTATAGGTTACTCTAGATGCACATCTGCTTCGATATAGATATCAGAAGGACTACTAGACCAAGGCATACTTATAGTGTGCAGGATAATGGACATGGCGCAGAAGCAGCTAGCTACTGATCACCCAGTAGCTTTATGCTTTAGTCAGGATAATCATCTAAACAATGCAAGAATTATGATCTGTACAAATACCTCTCCAAGTAAACCAAGACCGTAGCTGTACCTCTGGCCCTTAAATTTCAATAAAAGCACTATACCTGTCACACCATGCGACTCCCGAAACAAGCCAACGGAGAGCGCGGAAATACTAAGGGTACTTAGCCAAGCAGCAGCTACTAGTTACTTACCTTTTACCTAACCATCTATCCATTCCACCTATCCCTCTTCTCCCATTACTATACCTACCTCTACTTGTCTCCCAATCCAATGGCCTACAAGTAATTTACAACCAACTATCTCACCACCATCACATACACATACAACATACAGCAACAACTAACCATGTCCTCCGAACTCCGCCAACGCCAAAAACCAACCCCATCTAAACCCTCCAAAACCACCAAATCATCATCATCATCCTCCTCATCACCCAAAAATGGCATCTCCATCCTAGACATCATCCGTGTGCTGGCCACACTCCTAATCGCCTCGTGCGGTCTCTCCTACTACATGACCTCATCCGAATCCATCCTCTGGAACTACCGACCCTGGTTCACCCGCTGGCCAGTCCTAGTCCGCTACATCGTATGCCTCATCCCCTCATCCCCATTACCCCCTCACTCACACCACATACACATCTACTAACAATCCCCAACAGCAAGGCCCCCTCCTCCTAACCCCCGCCGAACTCTCCCTCTACAACGGCACAGACCCCACCCTACCCATCTACCTCTCCATCAACGGCACCATCTACGACGTATCCGCGAACCCGCTCGTCTACGGCGCCGGCGGCCACTACAACTTCTTCACGGGGCGGGATGCGACGCGCGCCTTCGTAACGGGATGCTTCAAGGAAGATCTCACGCCGGATATGCGCGGCGTCGAGGAGATGTTCATCCCGATCGATGATCCCGAGGAGGAGAAGCGGTTGACTAATGGACAGAGGAAGGTGCGGAGAGAGCAGGATTTGAGGATCGCTAAGCAGAGGATTCATAAGGCTGTGGCGCATTGGATGAGGTTCTTTGCTAATCATAAGAAGTATTATGAGGTTGGGAAGGTTGTGGGATTGGAGGAGGTTGTGAAGAGGGAGGAGGAGGAGGGCGTTAAGAGGGAGCTTTGTACGGCTGCGAGGCAGCAGAGGATGACCAGGGAGCAGGTTGAGAAGGCGAAGGGGGGGAAGTAGTAGGTTGAATTGTATGTAGGGTGTATGATAGTGGTTTTGGTGGGGGAGGGGGGAGGGTTTATCGTCGCTTGGGATTTTGTTATCTAAATGATAGATGCTTAATCATGTGAAAATTGAAGATATCCATCCAGCCATTTGGTATCGTTACGAGTGCATGTATCGAGTCTTCGACTAGTTCGCTACGCAATTCTTAAACCATGAACATGGTCATCTACAAAGAATGATTGGAACAGATTTTGGTTGAATTTCAGCCAGTCATATTCTAACTTGACATGTCCATCAAATCGCCCAGCCCGACTTTCCGAATTTTCATTCGAGTGATATCATATCGTTGCACAAAGAAAAATGCGACGCGAGGAAAAATATTCATAGCGTCATACGTTTACTCGGCGGTGACGGCGCGGGCTATTACCAATGTCAGTATTCTATCACATATATACCATACAAGTCGTCAAACATCGGAAGAGACAAGGTGGGACATACTGTAGATGTTCATCTTGGAGTGACCAACAACCTTCTTGATCTGTCCCTTCTCCTCAAGGTCAGCAAGGGCCTGGCGGGCCAAGCTGCCGTTGATCTTGAGACGGTCGACCAGAGTGGCGACAGTGATCAGACGGTAGGACTGGACATCCTTGTTGAGACGCTCAGCGGTCTGCTTCTCGAGGACGACGGCGTGCTGGGCCTTGTCCTTGACTATATTCGGAGAAAAAATCGATGTCAGTAAATCATGCTCTGTTCATTCATCTCGGTTTTGTGTATCGGTTCGCGATCGATCGCATTCATTCATCATGTGCGTTGTGTGTAATATCCATCCATCCATCGCTATCGGGGAATATGTAGTCAGGTGTGCTTCTTCTTTCTCTTCGTTCGATACAATAACAGGCGATCTTCGACTCTTGAACTCGATAGGGGGGAATAATAATGATGGTGATGGTGATGATGATGGAGAACGGGGAATTATAGCGTACCCTTGCCCTTGGACCACTTCTTTCTGGTAGGAGCCTGCGAATATTATTAGTATTGATACATCTTCCCCCTTCTGCACTGCGAGTGCTACTCGGCGTTGGTACTCACCATTTTGACTGTCTGATGTAGCTGTTCGACGGAGGAGAGCTGCACAACAGATCGAACGGTCTGAAGTTTGAGTGCCCAAGTGCGAAATTCGAGTGGGGGATGACTCAGCGTCACGTGTAGATGAACCCTAAGCCCTGGGCTGTCGGTGCCGCTCGGTTAACATTGGCTGCTGCAATGCCGGATGTGATTGGTCGGTCGGGGTACACCTGTTTGTATGCTCGGTGGTATAGTACGCAGTACTAAAGTATAAGGGTCTGTGAAACATTGGTAGGACCCAACGGCATGATTAAGATTAAGTATAGTTTCCGCTATGTACACAGGTATTGTATCAGTTCGTTATAGGGCTTCCCTCATGAAAATCTCCCTCGTAAAAGCATACCCGGCTTTGAAGCCATTAGGTGTAAGGTAGTACAGAGGACCAGCTGGAGATATGATCATTCAGCCGGATGAATGCGCTTCGTAGCACGCCTCAACAGCAGACAATCATCTACTTGTACCAGGTCCGTAGCTACTTCCCTTGACTTTACCATTTATGGTAGTGGTAACCTTGAACTGTGGCGAATCTTCGACACTCTCAAGGTGACCAAGTACAAAGTCGTCCGGGGTTCCAAACCAGAACTTCGAATCATCATCCTTATCGAAAGACAGCCATCGCACCTCGTATCGTCCGGTCTCGCTTCGCGGAACGGGGATGCGCGTAACTAACGGCTGGCTATACGGCGACCAGTACCGAACAGCAGCGTAGGCGGTGTTCGCCGTGGTTATAAGTAATTGCGTCTTGGAATGGTGCCACACGACCTGTCTAACAGTATGTTCGTGGACTAGCGCCGACAACAGGACCGGGGTGCTCTCCAAATCCCATATCCAGACAATGTTTGGTCGCGTCGGATCGACGGTGCCCAGAAGTGTCCCGCTGGCGCTAAAGGCCATGATCGACACCCCCCGGGGCGCCCCGGATGGTTCGACTGGCATACCAAACGCAGAGGAGCTTGATGCTTCGGCATATTCAAGGTCTCCGTCAGCTGCATAGCGTTCCCGCCAGACACTGGGGGAATTCTGCTCTATCTGAAAGACATGGGACAGTGTGACAGAACAGGAAAACTAGATTTATTAGCTTTGTCATACATAGAGCAGCCATCCGAAGTAATCTTACTGTTCGGGTTTTGAGAATGTCGACAGTCCCATCGACCTTACCAACGACCAGAAGCTCTGACACACCGCGTTGCCCGGTAACAGGGCTCCACTCTATCCCTCTAACGCCGAGGTCGAGCGAACTATCGATGCCCGAAGGGCCACTATACGTTCTGAAGAGCTGCCCATCAGCCGTGAAAATGAGGACTCTGGTGCCCGCACTCGCAGCATCCCACACGGCTATCCATCTCCCATCCGGACTCCATTTGAGGCCTTGGGCGTCTATTGTAGGCAACACTGCTCGGCCTATAAGCTCGTAAGATCGAAATTCGTGAATTGTCAATAGATCAACTGCATCCGGCTTCAGAAGAACAGCAAATTGCCTTGTTTTGGGCCGGTACCCGAAGCCATTGCTGTTCGAAAATTTGGGACTTTTAATGATTTGGCTTCGACCAGAGTCCAATCCGAAGACTGTGATTTTCGTATTCCAGGCATGAAAGAAAACGACCTCGTTCTCATCGCCTCCGAAGTCGACGTATGTAGCGCCAGGCTCAATGCTTTCGATTTCTGCGAGCGATTGCAACGGGTCCAATTGCCAGACCAGGATCCGTGAATCACTAGAACAAAGCACGCGTCTTCCTGGGGAACTCACTCCTGCGTAGGAGTGCGTGCTTGAAGGTAAAACAGGCTTGGATCTGGAGAACTTCAAGAACTTTGAAGCAACTTCCTTAAGCTTGACGATCTGTACCTCTTTGAAATCAGGCGATGCCGGGTCCAGATGGATGACAAGATCTTTGCCATTCAATTGCGCGGCATAGTCGCCATCCTCGGATAGAGAGATTGTGTTTGAGACTAAAATCATCATCAGTGATACAATTTGCTACCAAAACGGTTATAAACGCACCCCCTGCTCCGGTGGAGTCCATTGTTGATTTCAGCTGCAGCTAGGTTCAGTAACTGCCGTCGAGATGCAGTACAGAAATTATGGCGCGTGCATGTACTCCTGGTATCATGCGCATCCTAGACACTGTTTCTCATCACGAGCTTCCAGGGATCGGAGTCCTGGGACTGTTTTGAAGGTTTCATTATTTATCTGAACCCACTTTATTGGAAGGCGCCAAGGCTTCACATAGATTAGGTAAGCAGTACTATGAAAACACAAATTTGACAGCTGCTAATGATAGCCATGCGCATCAACAAAGTCTGCAAAGGTTGAAAGAGAGAAATATCCATTCTCAGTCTTAGCTCATGTAATATATAAACATCTGACCTCTTGTGCGACGAGAAACAGGCATATTGAGAAGACAGCTGAGTGGCGTGTGCATGTTCTTTCCCCGGATAAGATAAGAGGATCAACATTGATCCCCTCCGAAATAAATTAATTGTCGGCAAAAAAGCGCCCGCCATCCGCATCATTTGCGATTTCCAGACTCCAGATACCCTCCGCAAACCGCTACCTCGATCGCTCCTTTCGGGGACAAGAATCTCTTAGTTCGTAAAGATTCGTCTCCCTCGGTTCTCACCCCCCTGGCTGGGGCACTTCATCCCCAAGTTTCTACGCCCAAACGTGAAAATGGCGGTCCCGGAGACACAGCCCGCTCCGCAAGGAAGCGTCGCAGACCAGAATGCGCCTGTAGCTGCGGCTGCTGAACCGAGAAAGAAGCTCCTTGGAAGACAGTTCTACGAGAGTATTGGAAGCCCGAAGTACATTATTGCACCTATGGTGGACCGGTCTGAGTTTGTAGGTTCCTCTATGAACGTGATTTTCGATCACAACTAATCGTCCCGGAGGCGTGGCGCATGCTCACTAGGTCGTTCATGACACCGGAAGACCAGAAGAAGGTTCTTGCATACTCCCCCATGTACCATGCGCGCTTGTTCCGTGAGCAAGAGAATGTCCGCGTACAGCACTTCCACCCTACTCGCGCTGCCGCCGGCAAAGGCGAGGATGAGTCGCCATATCTCGACGGAAACCCTTCGTTCGATCGGCCTCTATTCGTACAATTCTGCGCCAATAATCCTGATGATTTCTTGGAAGCCGCGCGCCATGTGGCTCCATACTGCGATGCGGTTGATCTCAATCTGGGATGTCCCCAAGGCATTGCGAAGAGGGGTCACTACGGTGCTTTCCTCCAGGAAGACTGGGATCTGATTTACAGGCTGATCAACCGACTTCACAACGAACTTTCGATCCCAGTCACTGCCAAATTCCGTATCCAGGAAACGAAAGAGAAGACGCTCGAATATGCGAAGATGATCTTGTCCGCTGGTGCGAACATAATCACGGTGCACGGACGGAGAAGAGAACAGAAAGGCCACAATACCGGACTGGCTGATTGGAGCTACATTCGCTATCTCCGCGATAACCTTCCCCCAGAGACGGTCATCTTCGCGAATGGCAACAACTTGAACTATGAGGATCTGGATCGTTGTCTGGAAGAGACAGGTGCTGATGGTGTCATGAGTGCGGAAGGCAACTTGTCCGATCCATCGATCTTCAGCAAGCCCCCTCCAGTTGGCAGTGAAGGGAGGGAATACTGGCGGGGCAGGGATGGAAAGGGTGGATATCGTATCGACGCCATGCTACGGCGGTACTTGGACATCATCTACAAGTACGTGCTTGAACAGCCTGTTCCGGACAGGAAGCCGCTTTATCTTCCATCGGACGCAGTGGAAGAGGAACCTGAACAGACAACCGAAACAACCGAGGAAACCGAAGACGGCCCGCCCAAGAAGAAGCAGAAGCGCGAGAAGTCAAAGAGAGCGGCCTCTCCCAGTCTCGGTGTCATGCAGGGCCATCTCTTCCAGCTTCTCCGCCCTATGGTCTCTGTGCATACCAATGTCCGTGATGCGTTGGCAAGATCGAGACCTGGCGATATGCCAGCGTTTGAGAATGTCCTGGCTCTCGTCGAGCAGGCAATCAAGAAGGGTCTCAAGGAATACGAGCAATTCCCGGAACGCTTTGAGAAAGACCCGAACCAAGAATTGACCGGATCCAAGGCGACCATTGCCGAATACGGCAGACCTTGGTGGATCTGCCAGCCACACATCCGACCACTGCCTGAGGAGGCTGTCGAACTGGGCGCGCTTACTGTGAAGAAGAAGAACGATGGCAGCGAAAAGCCCAAGGCGGACGAGTCGTCTGAAAAGGCCACCCCTACTGCAGAGGGATCTGCCACTCCTTCGAAGACGGACGGGGCAGCTAACACGCCTGCCACGGCGACTACTCCGGACAACCTGGTGAGCGGTTGATATCACGTTTCAAGATTTGGTGTTTTTGCGGAGTAATGGGACCAGCATCTTATACCCAAGTTGGGCATAGCTACTATTCATGTTAGATATAGACGCATACAGAGCACATAGTACATAGAGCTACGTTTATGAACTTATAATTTTTAAATTCGCTCGAAAATCTCCAGGTTTAGCATCACTTACAGTACAATCACTGGTATCATAACCCATAAAAGCATAAACCCCAACCCATAAACTCCAACCTAACCCATATAGAAGAGAAAACCCATCTAAAAATCCATAACAAGCTGCGGCGCCATCTTCTCCAAATCCTCAACCTAAACCAAACATAGTCAACAAACACCGAAATCAACTAAACACACAAAACATGAGAAAGAGAGAGGGAGAAAAGACAAACCTCGAGGAACCCATCCCCAACCGAAGCCCCCTTCCCAACAGCCTCAGTCCTCTCAAACGCCGCTCTCGCCAACGCCTCCCTCACAAAAACATCCACATACTTCGCGACAACCGTATTCGCATCCTTCGCGATCTTCGTCTTCTCATTCTGGAAATGATGATGCAGTAACCTTGTCAACAACTTCGGTGGAATTACAGGATCGTTCGTGAGCACGTCATCAGAAGGCTGATCCTTGTGAATGATCTCCGCGAGAATGTAGTCCGGTTCTGGCTCTGGCTCTGGGGATGATGCGTCTGAGCGGGCGGGGGATGAAGAAGCGTTGTCGTTGTCGTTGTTGCTGTCTTCGTCGGAGTCGGCAGGGCTGGGTGATGATGGTCGGGGGCGTGCGGATTTGGATGAGGAGGCTTTGGCTGATGCTTCTTTTGGTTTTGGACCTCGTTTGCTTGCTGCTGTTGTTGTTGTCGATTTTGTTGTGGCTTTGCCTTTGGGTTTGCTGGTAGTTGATGATGATGATGCTGGGGCAGCGGCGGTAGAGGAGGTTCGGCTTGGTGGTTTGAAGGGGAGTTGTCTGCGCTTTTGCGCGGGTTTTCGCTCGGGAGGCATGGTGTGTTGGGTCTTTGTATCGAGGTTCGTTACTTTGGTGGTCAATTGATGGTAAGGTGTATTCGTCGCGGGGATTTGGTCTTCTTGCGCGGATGCGCGGGTCCGTGACGCGTGGTCAGGTGATTTGCTATCTATACAATATATGTGGGTTTATCATCGTTGTTAGTTCTCAGTCTTTTATAGAAGGTAGCTGATAGAAGACTGTACTGTTTTCACTTGAAATGAGCTGCATAGCTTGCAGGGTGGGGTTGGTTTTTTGTACCGAGCTACACTATCACTTAAGACACGATATATATGAGCGGTGGTGATTGATCTAACTCTATTGAAGTCGGAAAGAATATCGTCACTATTCAATGGAATGCACCATCCTACCTCATCCCTGTCCTAATGATCTCAGACCGCACCAAATATTATCAACCTATGCATTGACAATAATTAAACCCGATACAGGCGCTCAGTCATCAGCCGGTGTCACTACTGTAACATCAAGTCCCGACTTCTCCAATATCTCCCTCGAGCGAGCCCACGTCACACCAAACAACCCAGAGTTGAACCGACACGACCAGAGCTCAAGAAGACTACCCTCTTGGTCTTCAATGTGATCAAGTTGTTTCTTCATATCTGCAATGGCAAGCTCGGTGTTCTCCAGCACTATATTTTCAGGACTGACCATCCTTCCGAGCCCTCGTGACGTGAAAAGGCAGATTATCCAATGGCGTTTCCTGCGATTATTCTCATGATCTCTCTTCTGCGGTGGGATAATGAGAGCAGTTCCTTCTGGCAGTCGAGCTTTTCGTGTGCCATCGCTTGTTGTGATAGTATTGTATCTGGGCTTGGAAGAGAATTGTCGGCAGTAGGATCGATAAACCTCATATGCAGCAGGGTACTGTTAGGTTTTAGTCAGATTTGCATAGAACCCTAGGTGAAATACTACGAGAGACGCACATTGCTTCGGAAGACCCGTGCTATCCCCTTCCCCCAGGTGCCACGGCAGTTACATGCATCTGTTTCCATCAATTAGTTACATTCATATTCGTAGATAGAGAAACGTACGGATCAGCGCTGCTCCCTCTGGAGCATCGAACAGGCTACCTTGGATCTCTAAGAGACCCCCTGTAGAGCTGCTTGGCTCCATACGTACTGAGTGTGCTGTGTGTGTGTGTGTGTGTGAGGGAAAGAGATTGAGGTTTGATGATATGGTACACCGTTCTTTCGAGAGCGACAGGGGGACCAAGTAGCAGACAAGGATTACAAGAAAGAAGTATTAAGTCACGGGCGTTGTTCGAATTATCAGCGGTAGTAAAGAGGCCAATAGACAAAACAAAATTCAATTCAAAGAAGGTAGCTACCGTGAATACAATCGATCACCGCTGAAACTTCCGCACAGTTTGCTCATGATGGCAATAAGTGACCTGTTAAGGAAATACAAAAGGCTCGTTGGATGGCGAAAGTGAATGATAATGACAAAGAGTGTAAGTACAACATGAACAAGAGAAATGTTTTGGGGTAATGGTCACGTCAATGTAGGCTACTACCGCGTATCCCCGGACTTTCCGTTCCGTTCTGAACCTTGACGGTTAAGAAAATGACGGAAGCCCCTGGATTTTGTACCTGACTTCGACTTGACATCGCTGTCCGTAGCATCACTTGCTAGTGACTCTTTGCCCGGCGATGGCGCCTGTGTGCCACCACAAGCCCAGGAAGATGTAGTTGCAACCGAAATAGGCGCGCTCTGCGAGCTGGTGGATTTCAGCCTTCGACTCATGGTTCGTGAGACGGTTTTGAATAGACCAGAGCCATGATCTGGGGAAGAACGCTCCAAACGGGCAATTTCACCCATCATTGTCACTCCGTTGGTCGCGAAGTTCTCTTCTGGAATTGGAATATATAAGATGACTCCTCGGTTTGGAGCCACATGGAGGATTTCTTGCAGTGCTGCCTGGATCAGAATGGTGCTACGAAGGTTGGTTATCGGTGCGATGAGGTATGGTAGCGCAAAGACTTTCATCAGGTAGGCTGGTAGATTCACTCTCCCGAATTGGATGCACGCGTCTTCTTGAATGGTGGTCATCATAAGTGTTTCGGATTTCTGGAAGATGCGTGCCATATGGGACGAAATGTTCGAGGCAAGCGACTCCATTTCTTTGACCTGCACCTGGGGTCAGAACTATACAATGATCATACTCTCATTGCTGGGGATTATGAGCAGATATAGACCATCACGCACCTTGGTGTTGACCTTAATCTCTACCACCACGACCGAATCCTGGCTGATCTGGGTTCTGGGTGAGGTCAACGGACCCCTTGTGCTAAAGGCGTCTTCGAAGTACTGGCTTTTCGTTCGAGTCATCGGCTTCTCCTCAACACTCTTCCGCTCTACATGAGCTGGCTTGACATCCAGAGGTGCACCGCCAGTCAGAGCAGAAATCGGGGCCTCGTCATCATCCTTCTCTTCTAAGAACATGGATGGCCTCACAGGTGCCCTTTCTAGTTTATTCTTCTGCTTGAGTGTTGCCTCGGAGACATTAACTGATGCAAATGCTTGAAACGTCACAGGTGACTGGAGAACAGGTACTGGTGGTGAGATACTGCCGGACGACGTGTTCGACAAATCGTTACGCCGTCTTCGCAGGGAAAAGTCAATCCTGTGGCGCCTTGCGGTCATTGCGGCGTAGATGTTTATGAAGTTCGTAAAGATTGCCCGCTATTTCTTTGCTGCAGTATAAAAAGTTATGTAGGACTGACTTAGATTCCTTGCGATGGTTGTTGAGACGCTGATTAGACGGGAGATATGATACTCCTAAGAGGTAGTACTTCCTGCCATTACTGGCTCCCAACGCGGTAGATTATATCTTTGTAGATAGGCAGGTACTAGCCATCACAACCAGTAGGGCTGCCCGGTACACCCAGAAGGCAGCTACGGATCAGCCTTGCCATGCACAAGTGTCCACCGACCAGTTGCACGAGGCTCACGATAGAATAACCACATCCCAGTCATAATCGCCAGTCCGCATAATGGAACCGACAAACACACTCAAGCCAAAAACCCAAGATAGTCAAAGGCAGAGTTGCCACTATAGAATATCTTGTCGATTCTCCGTCTCCTGTCCCACACGATCTCTCCATCCGAACGACGTTTGATATAGAGGATCCGGTGTTGAGGAATAAATTCCTCGTCGGTTGTCTCCTTCTTCCACGCATTGAAACCAGACTCCAAGCGTCCTTCGAATCGATCTTCATACCCAATAACGTAATTGGTACCATCGAAGGCAGGGTCCCAGATAATACGGTTGATTATGTCTGTGATTGAATTAGCGACCCTGCCAGGGAACCAGTCTTGAAATATACCTGCTGCAGGACGAAGTCTATTCTCCACAGGCTCCGGCTTCTGTGATCCTAACGTGACAGAGTCATAACCCGTCTCGAAGGAAGTAGGCGTTGGTGTTCTTGATTGAGCATTCGGCTGGGGTGTCGAGCTACGCTCGTAGTCCTGCTCTGGGGCATCGTGAACTTTCTGCTGCGTCTCGGTCGATGGTTCTGAAGCCATGATCTCAATAGCTATCACACTCTTCGGTTCTGGTACTTTCCTGGAAATGTTTGATTGTATGCTGAGATGATTGAAGACATGTTCACAGGTTATATATTCTTGCTAAAAATTAGTGCGACATAACCAAAGGCCATCAACTGGAAGTCTACTATGTTGCTCATATTGCCAATTCCAACAATATGTGTAAGCATGATCAAAGTATGTTGCATGGAAGGCCTGATAGATCCACCGCATCGCATCAGATCACGTACTATACTGATGCCCTGGATGATCGCCGTAGTCTGAAACGGGAAAGTGAGTCGAATGAACGTGGCTTAGCGCACTCCTGGGATGGAAATATGACTCATGATCGAGTGTATACATTATGAGTGATGTTGAGTCAGACTTGGCAATTTACTATTTGACCATAGGAGGAGATTCGAGGAGAAGCAACATCGAGTAGCGTCAGGTGCAAAAATGTAAGTCAAGTGTTTCCGTAGAAAGGAAATGTAATAATAATAATAGGATGGAGTACTCGGTAATAAACAAAAAAGGAAATTTGAGCTCCGATAGGGGGAATCGAACCCCCGGCTGCCGTGTGAGAGACGGCGATGTTAGCCACTACACCATATCGGATCTTGTTGAAGAACGGAGCTAGCTTTCGCATCATAAGCCATCACCAAAAGTTTTGATCAATAAATCCACGCTAGTTGTTGGATTGACTAGCATTGAATATGGAAGAACACCCAGGCTGTAAAACGGAATGGAAAGTAAGACTGAATTCTAAGAACAATCTCTAAATGTGTGGGCGGCAGAACCCCGCGTCCTCAAGGTACACAGTCTTGGCTCCAACGGAAGTTGGGTCTCCTCACGCGGCGGACCGAAACCAACTGTTTTAACCCGCATTCGCGCGCAAACGCGTCTACCTAAGAAGTCCGAAACCTCCTTCTCCCCTCAATACGAAATCTAGATCATGAACCCTGACAGGAAGATATCAGGATGAGTGACGCGACAACTTCCCTGCTCACAGAGCATTTCAGCTATACGCCCCTAGTTCGTATGGCCCTTTGGCGACGTGCTGTTGAAAACAACCCAGGCTGACTCGGCGCAGTCTCTCATAGATGACATTATCAACTCGATCAACAACTTGATCTATCAAGCTATTTCAAGTCTTGAAACAGGTCTACTGGGCACGCCTCCGGAGCGCCTGGGTTTCTCGCATGCGAACAATGGCTCGACCATACCTGACACCGACGAAGACGGGAATGTTATCTACCCAGAAGCACAGCTGGAAATCGAAAATGGACTACATCAGCTAGAAACACTGCTCGAGGCGACAGTCGACAAAACTTTCGATAAATTTGAGCTTTTCGTGCTGCGCAATACGTTCAAGGTACCCGACGATCTGATGGGATGGATTCGGCTGAAGCACTACGAGGTATGTTGACCTATCAATCTTCCAGCTCCCCTTCTCTTCTAACCAGCCTGGCTCCTTATTAGAATCTGAACCTGGAGCCCCCCTCCGATGCCCCCACTCCAGAAACGATCTCCGCCCAGCGGAAGAAGTTACACGAAACCAAGAAGTTGAATCGGGTGCTGAAACAGGAAAGCGCACGTAATGAGGCCGTAATTGCTCAGTTACGCTCCATCCTGTCGAATGCGCAGACCGCCAAACAGGAGAATGGTGTCACACCCAACGGTCAACCAAACCTGGACTTGTCTTTCTTGATTTCTAGCCCAGCTGCACAGCAGCTACGTGTCGGTGCCGCTACCGGATCAAACACCCAACATACGCCGATCACCACGAACGCCACGTTCATATTGTCTCAGCTCCCTGCTCTACAAGCGCTTCTCAAGGAACTCCGGCCGAAATTGGCGACTCTACCACAATCCGGAGATAAAATGGATACGGAACCCAAAGCCGATGCGAGACGCGAGTACATCGAGAGCAGAGTTAGGCTGCACCTCGAAAGGGCTGGTCAGCTGGCGGTTGGTAGTGATAATACTACCGTCGTGGCTGGCCGTAAGATCGATATTGCAGAGGCACAGGCTCTTGAGGCTGTTACGGGAATGCTTACGCAAGGAGACAAGAAATCAGCCTAAAGGGCGTGAACCGAGAACACTGGGATGGTTCTTTGTTCCAAATCCATCAAGGAGATCTATTTTCACTCAGTCGACTGAACTCATGCAGACCACGACACGCTCCATGTCTGCTGGTCCCGTCTGAAGGGAACAACATCCACCTTGTCCGACTTCAAGATGTTCGGGATCTTCTCATCCTTCCTATCGATGACGATGAACTCCTTCTGCTCTTCGCCAATGCCATAGAAATTGCGACCAAACTTGCTCATGAAACCCTCAATGATCTCAGGGGTGATGTCTTCTTCCTTCAAGACGCCATTCTGGCAAGCTTGCTCGAACGCGTCGATGACAAGCTGGGTGGTGTGGGGCTGAGTGAACACACCGGCTGCGATCTTATCGCCTCCTCTCTTGGACACGGCCGGGTGAGGTGCGCTGTCGGATCCGAAGAAGAACTTGGGATTACCGGAGGCTGCTGCGCGCAAAAGGGCATCACGATCCGCGGGCGTCTTGGCAACCGGCTTGCAGAAGCAGAACGGATCTCCAGCCCAGGAGTCGATGATGATCGACAGGTGATGGGCCGTGACTAGAACAGCTGTTAGTGTACGATTATTCAGCTATGGAAAGAGTCCTCACTTGTTCCGGCAACAGTAGGGCCACACTTCTTGACAGCCTCAACCGCAGCGGCGGTGGTGCAGTGCTCGAGAATGATCCTCAGCTTGGGGAATTTCTCGTGCAGCTGGAGCAGGGTTGGCAGGAAGCGCTCTTCTGCCGTCAAAACGGTCACATCACCCTTGGATGGGACTTCACCGTGCAGGTTGAGGATCATATCCTGACGCTCCATCTCAGCGAAGACGGGGTAGAACTGAGTGTAGTCGATGACGCCCGAGGAGGAGTTAGTAGTGACACCGGCCGGGTAACTCTTGACGCCAGTGATGCCGCGTTTCTTGGCATCGATGATGGTCTCCGGGGTTATAGTCTCATGGAGATACAGAGACATAAGATAGTTCACATTGGGCTCAATGGCCTGCAGACGCTGCTTGTACTCAAGCGCGCGGTCAACGGTGGTCACGGGAGGGACCAAGTTCGGCTGGTGAAAGACATCCAAGTTACTATATTGTCCCAATTGCAATGCAGCAGTTCCACCAACCACATATAAATATGGTCAGAAGTTCAAAGCGGTATAGAGTGTTGAATTTACCATAACAAAAACGGTGTTGACACCACCCTGTCTAATAGTAGGAGTAACAAGCTCCATCATATCACCATCGCGAAGATGCACTTAACTCCACCAATCCCCATTAGCCAAGTTGAAACCTCCTAAGCGCAACTAACCCCCTCAACACCGGACACAATTGGCAGTCATTCAGTAGAAAAAATAGTACGCACCATGAAAGTCCGCGGAAGCGGGGAGCTTCACGCCCTGCAGCTTGGAGAGAGGCATTCTTTTTCCCGAACAATAGTAGAACTTTGAGTACCGAGGTATAACCAAATTAGGTCTGAAGATTCGAGGAAACAGCATGAACCAAATACTGAATCCAATCAATGATGTATAATATTCAATAAATGGGGGAAATCAAATACGTACAAGAAATTCCCATGGGCCGGTTTTTCCCCGCCAATTTTTTGTCGCGGGGGAATTTGGGATCCATGACCGCCTTGCTTGTGATTGGTTGGTGTGGGGTGTGGGCATGTGATGTCACGGGGGTGTCCGCCGGCGGTGCTTGACATCCTGGCGCTTACTACTCCTGGGTAAATAGGGAGCCTTCCATTCTACATCGCGTCGCTCCGAAAGGCTCGGGATGTGGAGGGTATTTTACAATGATACAGGCGGTTTTCAAGATTATTGTGTTCTATGAACTAACAAACAGCCGTTACACTCATCGTAACTCAGTGTTCTGATGACTGATAGCTAATACTCCCTCGCTTACCGTCAAATGATTACGGCCTTGGTCGCTGTGAAGAAACAGACTCTACATCTACTTACATTGAGTTATTTGCTTACCCTTCAGGACTACAGTTCATCCGTCTACTACAACCAATGGCAATAGTTTCGGTTTTGTGAAAATCACGCATAAGTTGTATTCAAACGAGTGCTATCATTCTTAACTTGAAGCTTTATCACGAAACACACAGTGCCTTCAATCTCTCGAGTCTCACCGCATCATCCTGTCATCTCCCGTGGCATCTATACCAGGGCTCTCTTAGAATTGGCCTCCAGTAGGCTGGCTACCACTGGGCTGACCACCACTAGGCTGGCTGCCACCAGACTGACCACCACCGGGAGTGGAAGAGTCGTCATCAACAGCAACACCACCGCTGGAGGTGTAGACGAAGCTGTAGTTAGGGTCATAGGTGGCAGACACATTGACAGCGACAGTCACCCATCCGAAGAGACCATCGTCTAAGCTGTCTCCAAGGTAGACGTAGTTCAAGACAGGGTCAGAGTCGGAGTTTTCAGTCTCGTCGGAGAAGACACGGTCTTCTGCGTTGGTGGTGAGCGTGACGGTGTTGGTGTTGTAAGGGTAAGTAGCCTCCACATCGTTGATGAGATCCTGATCCCAGAAAAGCTGACCAATATGCGCAACAGTGCCGCCAGTAATGGTGTTGTTGTCAAGCACAGTCACATCCAGGTGGGCAACCATGTGATGATGGGTGGTACGGCCGGAGTAGTGGCCCGGGAAGAGAGACTCGAAGGTGACAACACCGTCAGAGTCAGTCTTCTGGATACCACGGAGGAAGGTGGCGTTCAGGTTGGAAGTGTCATCGGTATTTCCGTTGCCGTTGGCGACAAGGCCGGAGTAGACACCGGTGGCATTGCAGTTCCAGATATCCCAGTACAGGTCGGTGATTGGCTCGCAGGTCTCAACGTTGATGAACTGGCCTTCAATCACCACGGGGACACCTGACTGGTCTTCGCGGACGTCCGACCGAATGTACTCGCCAGGGACATAGTAGGGACCAGTCTCACCCTCTGGGTTCAGAATGCAGGTACTGGTATTGGCAAAGACCTCGCTGGCGGAGGAGTCGGGTGTGACATCAGAACCGGTCACAAGATGGGACTTGTTGAGGACCGAGTCAGTATCTCGCCCAGCAAGGCGCCTCCGGTGGAGGTCCACCAAGGCCCTACGGCGAGCCTCGGCACGAGCATTAAGACCACTACGCTCGAACTTGGAAGCACAATTCTCCAAGCCACGACGCATGTTGGCTTTGAAATCCAGGAGGTCAGAGTTGGCGCGCTTCTCCTGGTGGCCGGGATGAGCAGTGGCAAGAACTGCGCATCCTACCGCGGCCAACTTGATAACGCTCTGGACATGCATTTTGAGGGAGCTTAAAGATGAAGTCCAAAAGATTTGGACAAGAAACAGGCGATATTTGCAGGGGGTCGAAGTTAGAGAGGCCTTGAAGAGACTGTTTTCTGCTGGATGTCTCCCTCAGATGCCTCCCGGATGAAGGGTCTTTATATGCTGCTCCCTCCATCATGAGAGTCGATATCAAAGTGCGCGTTACCGATGTACTGTGCAGTCTATACCCATCTGGGCGCGGACGAATTTGCCATTGCGCGGAGTATGTTCCCTTGCCGAAGCGATACCAAACTCCTAAGACAAGTAACTGTCGTCAGCAGTGGGTAGAATCAATGACGAGCGTGTACTGATCCCTGCTTGCTCTATCCAATGTTGCCGGCCAAAAATGAGCGAAAGCGTGCTCAAGTGATGAATCTACTTGCCAGGAAGGAAGATGACGAATCCCTCCCACCGGCCAAGACCATCGGCCGCGGGGACGCTGCGATGAAGCTCGCCCGCCAAGACCGCCTAATGATGTCCCTCAAGAGTCCAACACCCCAGACGCCGCGTGTCATTACTATCCAGAAGGCACTGATTGGCTTGGCTTTGAGGAAAACTGCGATGATCTGCACATCAGGGCTTAATATTCATCCGGTATCAATCAGCACAAATGTGATTCGCGACAAGTTGGTGGCTTTAGCTCGTGGTCCTGGCGCAGGTGTACTGAGTACCTACGGAGCAATACCCGTAGGCTTGGCGAAGCCAAGGCCTGTTTACAGCCCTAGGTCCAGACTGACTGTGAGTCGCGCTGTCTGGCAGGAATTTCGGGCCCCGAGGACCCCATGGTCCCGCTGCAATTATCCCGTTGCCCACTCTCAGAGAAGTGTGCGTGTTTCAATTATATGGTGGCTTGTGGGGACCCCAGATGAGTTTTCCACGGAGACCGGAAGTTTACTTTGAAATCGCTTGTTCTCGGATGATCGGCTTCACTTCGCCGTAGGCTGAAAACTAAGAAGAGACATGTGCTGGCTGAATATGCCGAAGGGAAGATTGCAGTGCTGATCGCTCGCCTAGCCAAGAGCTGCGCGATCAATATCCGCCTTGGAACAGTCGTAGACGTTATTTTAGGGGGTGGGACATGAAGTCCATGGCCCATTCATAGTCTGTATACAGGTCCCGTGCCACTTCTTCATCGCGCTACTTTTGGGTGATGATCGACACCTGTATAACGTATACACGTCTCTGAGGTGGATGGCGTCTGTCTCATTGTCCATACCACTGTGGATGCTCTCTAGTGATGGGAAATTTACAAGCTGCATACCCAAGAAAGCTGGACAAACAGACGGTGCGGAGAATGTCCCATTAGGGCAATTTTCAGAGCGGAGTCTAGACCTCCAACAGGCCAACAGGATGTGGAGAATATGCAGAGAAATCTCCGCGCATGAGCAAAATGATGTGATTGAGCCTGATATATGGTCGAGTCTGGGGATTGAGATGCGTGCACTCTGAGAGATCGAGGCATAACAGTAGCCCAGCAAGGCATGCGCTTTCAGAGAGAATAAGTTGCCCCATCGGGCCTGTCTGGCATTGGTGGAATCATCAAAGCCACAGGATGCAGTGATGCTAACCGATCATGTGAAAGCTGCAGTCCTTTGGCCTGGATTAATCTTATGCTCAACCCTCCCATACTAGAAGGGGCGCAGGCCCCAACTTTCAACTCAACCTCGAGGATGGAACGAGTGGTGCAGGAATGTACCATCGATAGGACCGGGCAGCTATCATGCCCATCAGCCGATGTCTCCTTTTGATCCATGATGTTCGACACAAATGAGTGGCGTTTCAAACCGGGCTTATTCACACCAATAGAACAGGAAGCGACGGACGTGTTACACAGAAGCCGAGTGCCTTTGTCCAAGACCAAGTCATCCATTCGCGCTGCTTGATGCACCGACCTCTTCTAAGCGCCGAAGGAGGCAAGGCTGCATCAAGTCAGTTTGAAGGATTCCTGCGTCTTCGCGCTCATGCAGGAGACAGCAAATAGGCGCGGCGCATTTCCCATGGGCGGCTATTAGGCTTTCATGGCTGAAGGGCTCTCGTGAAGATGTTTCACCTCTTCGCGCTTTGTGTGAGACCATTCTTATTTTTGGCAGCTGAAGAATGCTGCAGAAGTTAAGATGGGCTATTCATTGCTTGCATAAGTAGTTGATGCCTGCAGGTTTTCTCGTCAGGGTCTTTTTTATCTTGTCTGTACACTACCTTCCTTACCGTCTATAGCTTCAATCCATACCCTTCCTTCTGCCATTAATACCCTTCTTTCTTTCATTCAATCTCCTATTCAGCCTTCTGGCAAGGCTCCTCTTCTCTACACTTCTCTATTCCCCATCACTCACCCACCCCATAAAAAAAACATTAGAAAAAGAAAAGATACACCATGGACCGCAGCATCTCCACCGAATCCACCATAACCACCACCATAACCTCAACCGCCTCCATCGAAGAAGAATCCAAATTCCTCACCCGCACCCAACACCTCCGACACACGCGCCTAGCCCTCGCCATCCTCACCTTCCTAATCACCATTCCAACGATCGCCTGCGAAGCCATCGCCCTCCACCACTACCGCCAAACCTCCCCATACGCACAAGTGTGGCTCGATCTCTGGCCCTTGAACCTAGATCTCAGACCCACCATTGCCCTACTCGCCTGCGGCTGCGTGATAGCATTCCAGAACTTGCTTTACATCGTTACAGCCGTTGTTCCCTCCGTGAGTTCCCATACACCAACATCCATATCCAAGTGATACTGATAATGAACCAGCCCCGCCCCCACATCCGCCTCCTCAACCTCCTCGCCGCAGCAACCGCCCTCTCGGGCTTCATCGCCGCGCTCGTGGGCCTCATATTCGTGATTTACCAGCCCGGAGCGAAGCATCCGAGCGGGTTCAGTGAGATGGAGACGCTGCATTCGTGGACGTGTAAGTGGGGGGTTGTGAGGGATGGATATGATTCTGTGAGTGGGAATAGCACTATTAGTGCTAGTACGAGCGGTAGTTATAATGCTACCGGGGGTGATGTTACAGCGCCGGTGCATTTCAAGCGGGATTGTGATGTCACAAGCGCTGGATTTGTCTTGCTTTGTGTGTTGCTGGGGTTGGAGGTTGTTATGGGGGTGGTGGTTGGTGTAGGGGTTTGGGTTGAAAGGAAGGTTGGCGGGTTGAGGGGGAGGTTTGGTGGAGGGTTGGAGGGTATTGGGGGTGGAATGGGGGCAGGGGGAGGGATGAAGGGGGAGAGTAAGGTTTCTGTGGGGGGTGTGGAGAAGTATCCTGGGACTTGAATGAGGTGAGGTGATTGGGTGGGCTGGTTTGGGTTGGTTGGATTGGGTGTGATGTTGGTGTTGGTGGATGTGTTGTGAGAGTAATAGGTAAATTGATATAGTCATGATAGGGTATTCACTAGATTCCTGAATGTAATGTAAGGCTGGGGCGTTACAGCTTCGCTTCTCCCTTCCCTTTGCTACTGTCCATCCTCACTCCCTCGTCGTCCTGCTCCGCGACTTCTAGCACGGGCATCTCCTTCGGCATCATGCGTCTTGGATTGCTTCCGGGGATGACGGAGTACTTGGAGAAGTCGGTCACCCCGCAGTAATCACGCAAGAAGTCCTCATCGAGGGCTAGAAGTCCGTTCACGACGTGTGCTGGTGTGTTCAAGATCCCGAGGATTGCGTCGGAGAAGATCGTCTATGTTATATTAGTGTGTGTCACAATGGAACGTGTATGCTGATAGGAACCTACCGGCTTCCTCAAATCAGCCTTTCGCGAATCGCCATTGTTTGCAGGATTCATCTCCGTTGCTGCGCTTTCAACAGCCTATTCATTTAACCGTTAGCCAGCCACAGCTCAAAGCAGGATAGTCAACATACCGCAGCAGGCCAAATACTAGTAATAGCCATATCCGACTTGCCCTCTCTCACCCAATCCATAGCCAAGCCACGAGTGAGTACACTCATCCCGACCTTGCCTGTGTATTGTTAGCACTACCCAGAACCCTATTCCCCGACCCACAAACTCACCCATAGCATAAGCCGTCTTTCCCCTGAAAAACCTCGAATAAATCGGCGGCGAGACCACCACAATTCTCCCCTTCCACCCGTTCTTCTCAAATACCGGCAACGCCGCCATGATTGTCGCATACAGACCCTCCGGATTAACCCGCTGCATCAGCTGGAACCTCTTGAGAGGCGTATTGGCAACAGACGACCACCATATCGCACCAGAATTGTAGACCAGGACATCCAGCCGACCACCGCTAATCCGTACAGTCTCGTTTACCAGGTTATCGATCTGGCTGGGATCGCGCACATCGACTTGGACGGGGTGGGCGGTGCCGCCAGCGAGGGTGATTTCGCGGGCGACGGTGTGGATGGTGGAGGCGGGGGAGTTAGGGTCTGGTGGGAAGGGTGCTGTGGGATCTGGCGAGGTGGCAGATTTGGCGGCTATGATTACTGTACGAAGTGTTCTTTGTTAGCGATGATACATGATTAGAATGTGTCTGGCATACCGGTGTATCCGTTCTTCGCAAGGTCGATAGCAATCTGGCGGCCAATGCCTCGAGAGGCGCCCACGACTAGGGCGACGGGGTTGGGAGACCGAGTAGTCATGATGGCAGCCAATTGAATAAACCAAGCTTTGTGTATAAAAAATAGCTAGATAATATTCAAAGGCACCTCGAGACGCCGTAGGTTGATATAGAGGTCCAGGTTCGGTCATCCTCGGTAGATGGAATGATTAGTAGTCATTTGGCCGAGCGCGCGGCTCGGCCCGTTGACAGAGGGTTTAGTATGGAGATGAGGGGTTCATGGGACAGCTTTATGCCCTGCCGTTTATTGGAGGCATGAGTGATTCTGACACAATGTGTAAGTAAGTTTTGTTGTTGAATTGCTGGAAGGTGTTGTAGAAGGGCATCCACAGTTTCTCCTTATCGCAGCAACCTCGGCGTTATCACTGCATCTCCATCGGCGCATCCTGGCTCCGATTGGCTGTATTCATTACATAATCAACTATCGTATCCTCCACCGCCCTGGCAGAATCTCGCGTCTTTCGCAGCGTTTCACTTTTCCACTTCAGCAACAGACATATACATCACAGTTATCTATCAGAATGCCACCAGACATGGGTTCTCCCGCCGCCGATCTTGATCTGGATGACGAGCAGTATGACTCCGCCGAAGACGAGGACTTCCAGCTCGACGCAGCCCAAGATGACGCCGACTCGGGCATGTCCGATTCCGACGAAGAGGAGGCTGTCGACGAGACAGCGCCCAAGCGACGAAAGAAGGATACTAAGGATGCTCAAACAGCCGGCGATGATGACGAACTGGCGTCTGGGGATGAGGCGATGATTCAGAAGGCGAAGAATAAGAAGAGGAAGAAGGGAGATGAGGACGTGGATGTGGATCTTGATGATGACGAGGAAGGGGGAACAGGAGGTTTCGTGCGGACGCGCGCGATGAAGATGCGAATGTACGTGGTGTCTATTTGTCTGACAGTCTACTAGATCTGGGATTATACTGACACGATACTGCTACAGTGGAGAAGAGCGCAAACCGCTCGCGAAGATCGACGGCGCTACGGTTGATGTGGATGCGTTATGGGCGAAGATGAACGCTCCAGACTCGGGAGTAGATGCGTCAGCACAGGATGAGAGCAAAGATGCTACGCCTGCGGCTGGACAGAACGACGGAGAAGCGGCAGGAGGTGACGATGCTACTCCTTCGGCACAGGAACCCCAGACGAACTATACCGAAGAAATGGTGAAGATCAAGCGCACGTACAAGTTTGCCGGAGAGATGATTACGGAAGAGAAAATTGTGCCGAAGGATTCAGCGGAGGCTAAGCTATTCCTGGCGGGCGAGAAGGACGCGGAGACCGTAACTGCTGCAGATGTCGACCACGCCGCGAACGCCAAAGACGCCCTCAAACTGCGCAGACCCCTTCGACGACCCTCCCGCTTCGACCCGAATCCGACCGGCACGATCAAGAAGAGCTGGGAGAAACAGCCCGTTACGGAGGCGACGGCTGGGCAGGAGAACGCCCGGGGACCGAAGATCAACACGGTCGAGAAATCGCGTCTGGACTGGGCTGCATACGTGGACCAGGCTGGAATCAAGGACGAGCTCAACGTGCACAGCAAAGCGAAGGAGGGGTTCCTGGGTCGCATGGATTTCTTGGACCGTGTGGGGGCCAAGATGGACGAGGAGAGAAGAAATGCTCGTCTGAAGGGGCTTTGAACGGCTTCGGTTTCCGTTTGCTCTTTTCCTTTGGCTTCTTGACTTGCCTCGCGGTCCTGGCCAACTCCTTGTCCGAATCTCTCCCATGCAGGTGCGGACTAATGCCAGAACCTTCAGCATCGGATCCACTGTTTCAGGCCACGACTTTTTCAAATGGGCACGTATTCCAGTCTGCAGGTCTGGCTGGCTACATGCCGCAATCCGCACGGAAGACCGATGCGGTGTATATTAGCTATCATCCATAGCTGGAGGTAGTGCCGGACACGTGCCCACGGCTCGATCCACCGGGCTCAAATCATCTCCGCACTGGGCGGTTCGCTTACGTGCGGAGATGCTGCTGGTTGGATGGGCGTATATTGCCTATGCATCGCACTAGCATGACTGGCGTAAGTGCCAGCCAGGGCGATGTTACGACTTATGACATGTGAATTTGGAGATGTACGATATTGTTAGGATGGTAATCTTTCTTAATCCAATAGACTGATATTGGTTGCGCACGCTGTATAGCTAGCTACATAGTATTTAATTGGTCCCTTCATCTAATAAAAGGAGTAAGGGAGAAAATGAAACAGCCCAAAAGAAAGTTCCTCCATTGGAGCCTCGAATAGTCATTTGAAGCTCCTCAAATCGATACTCTGCTAATATCCTTCGGAACTTGGTAGTTTCCTGCGTACCCAGCTGTACCCGAGGAGAATGTATGATCTTAACAATCCCCCATAATCCGAGTATCTACGGTATCAGTGAGATTTTGTCAGCGCCATGCAAGCATTTCGAAAACTCATCCCACTCCGCAGAATCCCCTACTTGTACTTCTACCAGCCCCGGTTAGTACGGCACTGATGTACACTTCTTCTCTGGGGAAGTAAGTCCACACTATGCCCCTTTACCTTCTAGAATAAGACCTGGTCTCGCAGACATTTCAGCATGAGTTGCAATAGTAGTGAGACTTTCACCTCGATCTGGTATGCCCCATGCCTATTTCATCTCAGTGAAGTGACAGTGGTATCTTTAGCAACTTCTGAAACGGCTTGAAGTTCGATAGTCGTATCATCAGCACCGCTGATAACTACACCAGCATCCTTCTTGTCCATACAGCTTTCTGTCTGGAACTTTCATAGTCACTTTGGCACATATCAACTTTTGACTTCGCTCAATGCTCGGATAAATGCTGCAGTTAGCTGCAGATGTGAAGTGTCGTAACGGCTCAGGGACCGTGTATAGCTGGTTGCAGTGGGTACAGCCATGAAGGAGGCGGACATCTTCTGAGTGAGGAGATGCTGGAATATCATGTCGTGCATAGGTTCCTAGTCAAAGTCCCGGAAAGATTTCTGATGATATCTTTAGTAATGGAATCGAACTTTTAGGCTTAGAAGAAGCTGTTTCTTCTTGATCTGTAGATGCCTTCTGCCGAAAGACGGATTTTGAAGACTAGTATGTGTCAGTCCAAGGCTAGATTGAGATGTGCAGATAACTGCCACATATCCATTTCTTTTCTAGATTCATCATTTTTGTAGCTTGTTTCTGCTTACCAACACCTTTCCCAGCTCGCCACAGTCGATTTAAAATTTTGGGCATACTTGGAATTATACCAATCGGATACAGCGGATAGCCCATGTCTTTTTCCCAGTGCGTTATAGGTTGTGAGAACCACGGAGTATCGGCTGTCACTTTCCGGAGTAAACATTGGGTGGTCTTTAGTTAGGCGATCATGGATATACAGAGAATTGCTTCTCTGGAGCCGATTATCGCCATAATAGATGCACATAAATCTGAGGGACTTCCTCATATCGTCGCAGAGGTATCGATGACTTAAGGATACCTTTGATCAGCCTGCAATGGACATGTAGTCCACGTAGGTTTAAGCTCATCAAAACATATTCAGAATATCTGAACAACAAGCATATTTATAAGAGGAGTGATGGCTTATATCTTCCCGCAATGTGATAGGAAACAGAATGTCTGCTGTACGATCCAGGCTTCCTTATCAGTTGGTTTTGTCCATGACTTTCATAAGCCTCTCCAGGCCAACCCCAAGAAACTGCGCATTGTCATTAGTTGCGAGAAGAGACACAAATAGCAGATCACCTCTCTGTCATTCTCTTCAGTAACTCTCACCAAGTTCGTCGCTGATAGGAAGGTTAATCCTTCAATCTTCTCAGATCCATCCATGGGGTGAAAGGAGAGAAGAGAAGTTTGATCCCGTGTTTGAACCTGCAGCGCTACTCTGCTCAGTATAGCGATGATTGACCGTATGGAAGTCGCGTGGTCTCTGTATGCGAACATAACTGGCAATGAACTTTCCCACCAGAGCATATTAAAGATAATGCCTAGTTGCCATATCGCGCTCAAAATGACAAAGTTCCAAAAGCTGTCGGGAGGCGGCGGCAGCGCTTTGGTTCGGCAATGTTATCGCCAGCTCTCATTTGACAAGTACGGCCAGTCAGAACAAGCAAAGAAGAAGAGACGTACCAGATAGACAATCACAGCGACAATGGGAAACTGTGAGAGGATGACCAGCTTCTCTGGTGCTTTGGTAAGTATCTCCTTCAGTCCTGAGACTGCTAATAAGCATCCAAAGATATTATCAGCGTGTCGAACCTTCCAGAAACATATTGATATTATTAGCCCACTGGCTATCTTCTGGAGGAGGGATGATTCCTTCATCCTTTATACATGGCGCAGTTGTGGTGATATTCTCAAAAACAATATTATTCTGCTTTGTATATCAGATGAGACCAGGAAATGCAGCACAGACACGAACTGCACGAGTCATACTCGCGAGTTTGGCTTTTAATACTGCTTTGCTCCTGACTTCCAAGGCATCCTTCTTGAACAGCTGCATGCGCTCCTTCCGGAGCTCTCCCAGTAACTGGTAATCTGGCTCTTCGAGCGGGCTGTCGACGCCCTTGATATGCTTCAATGGGAGTTTCAGGCATGGTTGCCCGAACCACATTCGCGGTGCATTTAAGGAAGTTGGTTGCTTGGAAGAAGTCACAGAGCCTGTCCAAAGGCAAATAAAAAATATCTACCTAGATTTTATAGAAGCCGTCTTAGACTGCTTCCTGAGCTCTCCAAGGTACTCATGGTTTAGGTATACTGTGGCCGGGTTAATAGTCCACTCCAGTATCTCTGTGAGCTCCATGAATAATTGAATATTAGAGAAGGGGCAGGGAATAGCAGAAAGAAACCAATGTACGGGTTACAGCATGCCTTCAACTTGTCGAGAATACAGACAATGGGGCTGCTGTCACTAAAGGAAAGGTAGCACTCGTCGCAGAATGTCCGCGCGATGGGCATAATATGGATGGTGATTCTCTGTAGCTGACCTTTCAGCCTGGTCTTGGACAAACTATGCCGCAGATGGACCTCGCA